ATACTCTGTTAGATGTTATTTAGAGTGACACTCTGTTAACAGTTGTTTACATTGACACTCTGTTAGCTGTTGTTTACGGTGACACTCTGTCTCTGTTAAACGTTGTTCACAGTGATACTCCGTTAACAGTTTTTTACATTGACATTCTATTAGCAGTTGTTTACAGTGACACTCTGTTTACCGTTGTTTACAATGGTACTGTGCGATCAAATATGCCATCTAGACATGCATAATTATTCAGATCATTTCAATGTCTTATTCAATTGATCATTTTGAAACTGAAATTAAAAAATATATATAACTCGGCTGTTTGAAATTGGAAATTCAGAAGTGCAAGCAAAGAATTTTTATAAAAAGAAAGAAATAAATTTTTATTTATGCAAGCAAAGATTTGTTCGAACAGCAATGTTTGGACGTTAGATGTGTTAACTAAAATATAGTTTAAGCTTAACTATGATCATCCTTGTGATTTGAATATTTTGCATTAAAAAATATTCGAACCAAATAAATATGCATAAGCTACATAATAAAGAAAAATTAAAGTAAATGGGTGTAAAATAAAATATTCTAAGTGTGAAAAAGAAGCATGCACTGGCGTGAACAGGGTAATTTTAGTTACTTATTGAGTTTACCAACATTTGGTTTGTCTCAATCAAGACAAAAATTTAATAAAATTAAAACCCAATATTTCTTAAAATTTTATAGGAACTAAGAAAGCAAAGGAATTTATCCCTGGCGATTTGCTTATCCATAATCAAATTAAATACTAATCTTTTATCCAAATTATACATCATGAATTGAGAGAGGTGAATTATCGTTCAATTAATCAATTATTAAATTAAAAAATAACTACCGTTCAATTATCGTTCAATAATTAATGTGATAACTCCGAATTTTGGAGTTATAACATTCCCAAATAACTGAGATATATCACCGTAATCACAGATGGCAGGCGACCAATTTACCTTTTCAGGAGTAAACAAGCTGATGCGCCGCCTTCGTCGTCCTCCGTCTCCGAGTCGTCGCTAGGCAGGTCACCCCGCCCTCGGGTCGCGGATGTAACGAAGGACGTGTTCCGTCTATTTGCCCTCCTTTGGGCCAGCTGATGCAAGATGCTGTTGCTTGTCACTTGCTGAGGGTAGTTTACCATTACTGGACAAACCGAGATCTTTCTCAACCACTTGTCCAGTCGTATCTTGAATGTTGCAAGGGTGAACTCCCCTCTTCTCAGCGCTTTTGGCAAGGCATTTAAGAGCCTCGGTCCTACCACGGACAGTAGTGATCCCTCACGAAGAGTCTGTATTCTGGCCTCTGCTCGGTTATTAAATGGGGTATCACACACAGTCTCCCCCTCCTTTCGTTGTAACGTGTCACTATTCTGGAGGTCACTCTCAAAGTTGTGAGCCAGTCCGGTTATCATCTTCCAGGTCTATAGTATGATGTACATCTCTTTTCTCCTCTCCAGTGAAAACAGTCACTGGTGTTTCAGTCCGTCCCTGTAATTCAGCCCCAGTTCCCTCATACCGCTGATCCTCGACATGAAGGTCCGCTGGACTGACTCCATGCAGTTTCCGCACTGCTCCCGCCTTGAGCGGCGCCCAAAGCTAGCAGCAGTACTCAAGATTGGGAGCAAGAAGGCTCTGAAGAGTGTAATCATTGGTGCTGCTTCTTTCGTTCAAAATGTCCGCCATATCCAACCCATCCGTTGCCTGCTTCGCGCGATTATTTCCTCGATGTGGTCATCGAATGTGGCTTCCGTACTCATCAACACTCCGAGATCTCGAATAAGTTGCTTCTCCTCAATTTCTGTGCCATCTGATGCCAAGTAGCGATGTGGAATCCCTGTCTCTGTGTCGAATTTGCATCTCATTACTTCGAACTCAGTGCTGTTGAATTGCATATTATTCATTAGGGCCCTATCGTAGATTGACGACAAGTCATCCTGTAACCTTTCGACGTCTAGGTTCTCTGCGATCTTCATCAGCACTCTTGTATCGTCCGCAAATGACGATGTAGATGCGTGAGTAAGTTCCGAATCAATATCTGCAATGCGGATGAAGAAAAAAAATCGGTCCTTGCACCGAGCACTGTGGGACTCCGCTTTTCACCCTCACTTCTCTCGATTGCGAGTTTCCAAGTGTGACAGCTTGTACTCTATTTGCAAGGATATTTTGGATCCACCCTAACAGGCTTCGTTCTACTCCCAACCGCCTCAGCTTTCTGAAGAGCACCCCATGGTCAACTTTGTCAAAAGCTCCAGCAAAGTCTAGGTATACCACGTCCACGCCAGCTCCTTCCTCCAGATAGGGTCACAATCCGGTGATGGTGCTCCAGTAACTATGACAAACATGAACGATTTCGTCGGAAACCACGCTGACCACTATTATACAGTCGAGTCTCTTCCATATACTGGACAAGCTTCCTGACCACTACCTTCTCAAAAACCTTGATCACCTGTGAGGTCAAGGTCACAGGTCTGTAATTTTGTGGTCTGTCCTTCGGGACTCCTTTGTGGATTTGCGTTGTCAGTCCCACTTTGAGACCCTCAGGGATAATTCCCTCCGTCATCGAGGCTTTCCTGAGCATTGTGAGCGAAGCCTTCAGTGCTCCAACAAACTTCTTCAATAGCACCGATGGAATTCCATTCCGGTCCTGATGATGAAAACGTCACAAATTCTTTGATACTTATTTCCATGTCTTCTGGTCCAAACTCAATGTTCTCCAACCACCTTCCGCCGGGCAGCTCCTGGAGAACTTCCACTCCATTTTCCTGTCTTGAGTAGCGGGGGTTACTGAACACTGATTCAAACTGCGATGCCAGTAACTCACAGATGCCTTGGTCATCTTCGACAAGGACATCTTTATCCATCAGCGGGCCCACTGGTGTCTTTATTTTAGCCTGGACTGGGCGTATTTGAAGAAATATTGGGGGATCCTCTCTGAAGACCTCAACTACTCGTTGCTCGGCAGCTTGTTCTTCTATCCTGTGAGAAGCTCTACTAGTCTCTGAGCTCTACTAGTCTCTGTTTCATCATGCAGGTCACTAGTTGATTCAGCTATTCGTTTGCTTAATCACTTGCGTTTTCTCATAAGGATTCGTCGGTCTCCCGGAATGCTGCTGACTTTGGGGTTCGTTTTTCTCGGAGTATGTCGCACACATACCTGTGCTAGTTTCTCACGTAGTTTTGGGTAAATATATTCTGCATTCATCTCGTGAAACTCTTCTCTCCAATCAGTTTCGTAAAGTTCATTCCAAATTGTCTCCCAATCCGTTCTTCGATGGTGAAAGTTAAGTCCTGCCAGTCCCTTCTGGGGTATAGCCCTTGAGTTCCTTCAATCCGAACGTCAACCACAATTACTTCATAATTAATAAAAAGGAGATCGTTGAGCAGTGAAGTGCTCACACTTCATTGCACATACTTCAAGCCATTGTATCCCCACTTCACTGCTCACACTTCACGCCATTGTATCGCCCCTTCACTGCTCACACTTCACTGCTCACACTTCACTGCTCACACTTCACGCCATTGTATCCCCACTCCACTGCTCACTCTTCACGCCATTGTATCTCCACTTCACTGCTCACTCTTCACGCCATTGTATCCCCACTTCACTGCACACACTTCTAGCCATTGTATCCCCATTTCACTGCTCGCACTTCACTGCTCGCTATTTTTTGCTGCTTGGCAGCGCAGTGACCATCGCTCGCCAAGACATAAAAGACGCGGCCGGCGCGACGTACTTTGTAAGTCGAGACGCCCAATCTCCGGCGATAACTGCTGATATTATTCGAAATATGGGCGTTTCCATCGTTATTTCCAAAATTGTAAATTTGTAGAGTAAATAGTTTACTTTTCTCATTGAAAAATGCGCCTTTGTATCATTATTTTTATCATTGTAAATTTAGTGACTTATTCAAGTTGCGTAGCTCATGGAAAAATATTTTGAATAACTCATTAAAAAAACGTGTGTTATTTATAATTATTTAAAAAAACGGTGTTTTTTCTATTTATTTTCAAATTTATTGCAAAAAAGCGGGTAAAAAACTCACTTTGCTTATGAGACATTGTTTGAATTTAATATCAAAATGGTACATATCTAGATAGAATTTTTAGATTTGTTGAATTTCGATATGCGCAGATATCAATCTAGCATCCTGAGTCAGATATATCACCGACTTGGATTTATATGGGAACAAGAATTTAATATGATAAATAGATAAATAAGATCATAAAAATTTGAGCATGACTTTACAACACATTTAAGAAACCTTGTTGGTGTTGATATTACCCTCTGTTCCAGCGCCGAAAAGTTAAAATAATTTAAGTCAATGAGGAAAATAAATATTTTTTGTAATCGGGAGTGAAAGAAAAACAGTAAGAAGACGTACAGAGCAGTAACGTTACGAATGGTAGAGAGAAGGAATTGAAAGGAGCAATATCAAAAGAAAACAAGAGATGATGTAATTTTATTTGTCCTACAATATAATGCCTTTTTTCTTATTTTACATTTAATTTAGATTATTTTTATTATCAGTCTACGAGTCTCGCAATCTTGCTAGGATGCTTCAGATAGGCGGCTATTTCAAATACAGATAATTCCAAGATCAAGATTGCAGATAGCTCCCATGGTGGCTTTTTTTAAATACATATAATTCCATGCAAAATTATTTCTGTGATGTAATGTGCAGCTGAATAAATAAAAATAATATCTTGAGTTAACAATCGCCAAGTCGCTTCATCGTTTATTTTTAATTTGCCATTTCGCTATTTCAATTGAATTTTTCGCTAGAACCATTTCGCTTTATCATTTGTTGTCGTAATGTCAGAAACATTTTGCTTTGTAATTCATTGTTGTACTACTAGAATTAATTCGTTTATAAATTGTTGTTGTCACATCAGAATTAATTCATTTCATGATTGGCTGTTTCACTTCTGAAGAGTGTACATGTATTGACAATAGTGATGTACTTTATCCTAATTTCACTCACCTTTATCCAGGTGCTGAATGATGGTGTGAAGTAAACGGCAGCTATACTATCATCCTGACGGCAACATGGCGGATGATAATAAAGCGGGAGGCGGAGAATTGAATGATAACAACACACAAGAAGAAATGGATGTGGGCAACGAAAAAGACCCAGAAAAATGTGTGGTAAACGGAGGAGAAAATGGCGTGAGAAACAGCGAAGAAAAACTTACAGTGGCTGATAATGATGAGGGAATGGAAGACTTAGAAGAAAGTAAAACGGAGGGGGCGGAAGATGAGAGATGTCTAACGGTAAGAACGGACTTTATTAGTATTAATTTCTATTTAAATTTTATCTTTATTTAAGTCACTTAATTTGTCCGGCACGTCAGTTTTTTAAGTCCGCCAGTATTTTTACTGCAATAAAAATCCGCTATTTAGATTTGATTGACTTTAATTGATGTCCGCGCGACGGGTTGACTTAAATTGATTGAATTAAAACAATTTGTGTGATTTTAATTGCAGCGTCTTGCACGCAGTGGAAGACGCTGCAATGTTACAATTAAAAATTGTTTGTAATTATATTTAAAGACAATCAATATATATAGTCATATTAAGCTGAAGTAAGATATGTCCAATGTGAGTATGATATTCTGAAATAGAGACTTCTCCCTATAGACAAAGTTATTAAATTATCTAAAGTAAAACTACTCCAATTGAGTTAGCATGCATTAATCTGCCTAGAGCAAGACTACTTAGATTAGTACCCTAGATATAGGTTTTAATCTATCTAGAATATGAGACTACTTTCTTACAAGTAAGTATTCTATATAAGCTATCTAAAGTGAAACTATTATTTCTTTAAACGTAGGTATATAGCTATCTAAATTGAGACTACTTCCCTAGACGTAGGCACTAAGCTATCTAGAGCTAGACTTCCTCCTTAAACTAGGTATTAACTTACATTCTCTCTCGATCTAGATTTTCTCTAGCGACTGTCGGCCGCCAGCTCTAGCGACTTGATCCCAGCAAATGCCAAGTTGCGATGTTTCGTCGAAAATAAATTATTTTAGCATAAATTCCTCGACATTTATTATTATTTCTCAAATTCTCTTTGCTTAACTTCATTAATTTTCCGAAATTATCAATTCATTGATATTAATCATCTAGTCATTTTATCGTTAACTTGCGTTTTATTCTTGTCATCGACAACACTTATTAAAATAGATTGAGAATTTTGGAATAAGTATTGAATCGATGAAAAGTTATGGGGTGTTCTATATAAGGTATAGAACACCCCATAAAAACAGAAACAGAGGGAACAGAGGGAACAGACAGCATTTTCATAGTGTAGGCGATCGCCTCTGCTAGCAGAGGCTGGACATAGGCTATGCATGTCCTGTGTGTAGTAGTCCTTGATTATATTATATTATATTATTTTGTGAACGCAGGTGAAAACGCAGTGTAGGACGCTGCAATATCACAATTATTATTTTTTAATTAAAAACTATCTATATATATAGTTTAATTAAACTGAATAAGATATTTCCAATGTTAGCATGATATTCTGAACAGCAGACGTAGTTATTAAATTATCTAGAGTAAAACTAGATAATTAGTAAAAAAAACCCTAGAGTTGGCTCTAATCTGCCTATAGAGCAAGATTACTTAGATTAATGCCCTAGATGTAGTTATTAATCTTTGTAAAATGAGCCTACTTTCCAATAAGTAAGTATTCCAAGCTATTTGGAGCGAAACTATTTCTGTATTTATTTCCCTAAAGCTATCTAGATTGACACTACTTCCCTAGACGTAGGCACTAAGCTATCTAGAGCTAGACTTCCTCCTTAAACTAGGTATTAGCTTACATTCTTCCACGATCTAGATTTAAACAATCTAGAGCTAGACTTATTCCCTAATTATAGGTATTAGCTTTCATTCTCCCACGATCTAGATTTCCTCTAGAGACTGTCGGCCGCCTGTTCTAGCGACTTGATCACAGCAACAGCCAAGTTGCGATGTTTCGAAAATAAATTATTTTGTCATAATTTCTTTCTTCTCAGCATACTTTATCTCTTAAATTCTCTTTGGTTAGCATTATCAACTTTTCTAAATAATCAATTCATTGATATTAATCATTTTGTTATATTTTTAAGATCCATAATACAAATTAAAAGAGATTGAGAATTTTGAAATAAGCAATGAACCAATGAAAAGTTATGGGGTGTTGTATATAAGGTAAGTTAATTGAATAAGAATGAAGCAATAAATAATGATAAGTTAATGGTTATTTTTGTATAACATAATTATGAAGAAAAAATAAAATTTGCGGACAAATTTTTAAGCATCTACTATATTTCTGTAAATTATAAAATATGGACGTCCACAGAAATGTTCCGGTATACCTGGCGTCTGGAGCTCGTCAGTTCCGGTATACCTGGTGTCTAGTGCTCGTCAGTTCCGGTATACCTGGTGTCTAGTGCTCGTCAGTTCCGGTATACCTGGTGTCTAGTGCTCGTCAGTTCCGGTATACCTGGCGTCTAGAGCTTGTCAGTTCCGGTATACCTGGTGTCTAGAGCTCGTCAGTTCCGGTATACCTGGCGTCTAGAGCTCGTCAGTTCCGATATACCTGGCGTCTAAAGCTTATAGATATGTGACTGTCTATTGTGTGACTGTCTAACCAATTCTATCTCATTCCTGCGGGTAAATGTGTTGTATATCATGAATTTTTATTAGTTTTAAAAGTGATTATGAAATCTACTATCGATGAACCTATTTTCGTTGGAGCTGGGATTCAACAATCTGCCAATCAACACTGGACATTTAATTCCTCCACCGCTACCTAATCTGCCTCAACAGAATCTCATGTCACGACAGAATCCTAAACCGAGATCTGAGATCTGCTGTTGGGATTCTGTTTTACACAAAGTGTAATCGTATTACTTCCGCTGTAGTCGCAGTACTTTCGCGTCTCGTGTAGCATTTGTAGGTCGGCACCAGTTTACTTTGTTGCGCTACCACGAATAGTTTTTAGTCATGACTAGTATGGCGTGCAGACGCTTGTCATTAATCAACTACGTTGTCTAAATTTTTGTTGTACTGTTAGCCATTTTGATGTAACTATATACTTTCATATCTTGTATTGCAGACAAATGCAAAGTGATTTCAACCCATTGGTCGGGCCTTAATGAAATACTGGTTCACTTTGTTAGTGTGTTCGCAGGCTGAAATTTAAGTTTACAGTGATCGATATTTAAGCAACTTGGATCACTTACACCTTCGTGTCAGTTTAACGTGAAGACCATCGCCGATGGTTCGTAACCAACTACAGGCTGTGTTTCAGCTTGTACACACAGGACATAATTTACTGCCATCACAGACTCCCCAGCTAGCCACTTTTCACTGGTCCTAACGAGTGACAGTATCAGATCCTGTACACCCTACGAGAATCGAGAACTTCCTAATGCAGTCACAACATCCAACCTACCACTACTGGACCTCATAACCCGTTGCCACCGCATCCTAACCTCCCCTTTACTGGACTTCCTCACCAGCTGCCCCCGCATCCTAACCTCCCCTTTACTGGACTTCCTCACCAGCTGCCCTCGCGTCCTAACCTTCCTTTTACTGGACCTCATAACCCGTTGCCAACGCATCCTAACCTTCTCTATATTGTACATTACTACATACCCTCCGTGCTGCATAACCTCCAACTTCTGCGTCCTCTAATATATCTCATAACTCTTCCTTACCTGATTTTCTGTCAGTCCAAGAACCCAATCTCACTTATTTCAGGACTCTATCGAACTCAATCTTCTGCAGGTTATGGAAATAATACGCTAAATTCTAGCCTGGGAACGTCTTGCCTAAAATTCATATTTTAGACCTTTATCGGACATTAACTTATGCTGATTGTGCTTCCTAATCTGACATCTGGACTTTTTAATGCAAAGATTAACCTATTTTAATGACTCTTTCCGACTTAACCTTCCGCTAAATTCGCACTCTGACTTAACTATAGTACCTTTTTGTGCTAAACTTTACTTTTAGCCGCCATTGCACGTTAGCTAGCCCGCTTATAATTGACAACTTTATCATTCCACCGAATATTCTTTCTTCGTATTTAACCGCACCGTCGGTCACTTCTTGACAGAAGAACTGTTCTCGAAATTTATTGTGTTTTTGATGTTTCAACGGACATTTATAATATTGTGCTATACTTTCAGCATAGTAAATTTTCCTAATTTTCCTTTCAGCAAGAAGAAACACTGGTTGAGTTTCACGATGAAGCAACCGCAGGCGAATCCACAGAGGTTGCTGAAACTGAAGACAAACCTTATGAAACGCCATTCGAAATCGAAGATACCAAAAAATCTGGTTTGCATGAGGTTGAACCAACAGACAAAAATCCTGCTAGAGAAGAAATTACCGAAAATATTGAAGAGAAAGAGAACCTAAGACCAGCGTCAATTGAAAAGAATGAACATCCTCAAGAATGTCTGTCAGTCAGCGCCGCAAAAGAAGCTGAAACAGAAAACAACCTTGAGAATGAGGTTGCAAGTCCCCAGGATGCCAAAAAAAGCCTTGAGGACACTGATAAAAGTCCACTGAATGCCGAAATAAGTACAGAGAGCACCAATAAAAGTCCAGATGACGCCGAAGAAAGTCCACGAAGTGCCGAAAAAAGTCCCCATGTTGTCAAAATAAGTTCCCAGAGTGCCGAAAAAAGTTCATTGAGGCTAGATCAAAGTCCTTACCGATCCGTAATAAGTCCATATCGATCGGAAAGTTCTGGTAAACCTGAAGAAGATGACGCACCAATCGAGAAAAGAGTTAAACTTTCTTCAGTGGAAATAAGAATCCCGAACTTGAAGGCTCAGCTCAACAACATCATAAAAGAAACGGAGGAAACTGTCCAGGCGCCGCCACCCGTTGAAGATTCAGAAGAAGTACAAGAAATCGGGGAAGATGGACAGGTTTGAATATTTGATTTTACCCGTGAAAAATATTTCATGGTTGTTGAACGGTTGGTTTTTATCAGCCCTCTCATAGTTTTAGTTGACGCAAATTAAAACCCTTATTGCTGCAAATATATTTCAAGAAGAGCTTACAGTTTCATTGAATTAGTTCATTTATGGCGGAAGCAAATAGCTTTTCTCCCGGTTCATTATGGTTAATTTATTATAATTATAAGATTTTGCATCTAAATTTGATTTGATTAAATTTAATGTAGTTAATAATTTTTTTATGATATTACCTTTAGTTGTTCAGTCTTAAATTTGTAGCACTTTTTGTAATTTATAGCACTTTTTGTAATTTGTAGCATTTTGTAATTTCATAGTATTAAATTTACTCAGCTATTATTAGTTACAAAACAATCTGAAAAGTTTTAAATAATTTCCATACTTAGTGTGATACTATCCATGTCTTCTTTAAAGAGTTTAAGTGTAAGTTCTTATTTTTTCATATTGGTCTAATTTTCCACTATTACATGAATGCAGAATATTCATTGTCTATTCATGTGAGAGAACGTATGCTAATTTCCAATTCTGTCGCATGTTTTGGAATACAAGGACGGAAAAATATAGAATTTTGTGCTCGGTGGTCACGGCAATAAAAAAAAGTTTATTTAAAGAGAATGATTAACACTATATTGATAAAAATTACTAACGCGTGTTAACATTGAAAGGAATGATTTATGATGTTCCATTTCTAAGTTCATTTTTGGAAGCTCCTGAATCTCCAAAAGGAAAGTACAAGTATAGGTTGAAAATTTTCACAATTTGTTGCTTTGATAAATGGTATAATAAAGTAAGGCTATAAGTGAATCAATGATCTGAAATTTGTTATATTTATTATCAAATTTTTCTACTTCCAGGTGTACCACACGTGGCGTCCGAAAGGCCGTTATGAACTAGAACACACCGAAATAATGGTAAGAAACGTACTAATTCCTGCGGATTATTTAATTTGTTATTAATATTGTTGTTGAATACGCTTAATTAACTCTTTGTGCACGGATACATTAACCGCCGTCAAAGCTGTCCGTACATGAAATAAAAATATAATAATAATAAATATAAAATTATTATAAAAATGGCAGGGAAATACATTTAGTCGTTCTATTTGTGCAGTTTGAATAAGATCAGCCCCCAAAAATATACACCTTCCACCACTTCCGGACCATATTTTAGGAGAAATATTCCAAAATAGTCCGTACATGAAATAAAAATATAATAATAATAAATATAAAATGATAATAAAAATGGCCGGGATATAAATTTCGTCGTTCTATTTGTGCAGTTTGAATAGGATCAACCCCCAAAAATATACCTTCCACCATCTCCGCACCATATTTTAGGAGAATTATTCCAAAATATTTGCTACATGATTGATATGGGCGAGAAAAATATTTTTATTTCGATTACCACATGTAAACGCCTTTTTGAAAATATCCTCGTCGTAATATAATTTTTTTTTTAAATATCGTAACTTTTCAAAAATATCCTTTGGTAAGCATAAATTTTTGAGTGGTGATATTCTTGCTGTCAATGTGTGTGATCAGCTCAGCTATTCGAGAATCATACATAAGGACGATAATATTTAATTTAATGAATTTAATAACATTGAACGTGGGCCTGGCATGATTTCCCGGGACCGAGAAGTCCCGTCAGTACACAAAGGTTTAGGAATAGTATGATATTGCCCGAGACTCCGTTATCTTTATAATTTATTGCAAACTAGATTTAAGTTCAACACTATCGTGCTTGAAAACTTATATTTCCACCCATTATATAGCTTGATGTATAGATTTTTTTCTTCATCATAAACATCAGAATAGGATTATTTCCGTACATCTGTGTGCAGCATTAGTCCTTTAAAGGCCATAAAAATATGTCCGGTAATTAATTTCATGATTTATGGGCATGAATTCGACATAAAGATTGTTCTTGAAAAGTAGTCTGTTAGGAATATAACATGGCGTCATTTGCTGTTGATTGTTGATTCTGTCGTTAGCTAAGGGATTGTGTGACGTCAATACCTGTTAGCTGTTGACATGAACGTCCTACAGAGGGAAGAAGTGGTGCCAATATCTGTTAGTGATGTGCCAGAGCCTCCTCCTGTTGTTCAGCAACAGTCTGAGCCACAACCTGAGCCTGATGCTGCCGAGAGAGATGAACAACAGCAACAACAGCAACAGGTATATATATTAATCTTAGTATATAAATTTTGACGCAGCTCACTCATCAGTAGCAGAGCGGAATAAAATTGCGCCCTGAGGAAATGATGAATATTTATTTTTGTGCATTCTATTCACAATTAATACCATGTAATTAATTAAGGTAATAAAGTATTAATTAAAATGATCAGATTTAATTCTTGTTCTGTGTAAGAAGTTTTATTACTCTCCTTGATACAGAGTCTTTACTCTCTAAGTAAGAAGTTTTATTACTCTATTACTATTTATTACTAGACTCGCACCATGGATCAGACTTTTGAATTCGACACTATATTTTTCAGAAAAAACTATGCAGTTTTATGTAAATACTGATGGTACTTAGCATTGATCTTAACTTTTATATTAAAACAATGTCAGAAATTATTATGAAAAATACAAATGTAAAATACAAATGTAAGCAAATTTAACACGAAGCGAGTGTCTAGAGTATGCCGTACAAGATAACGAGTACAATATTTATTTCAGTTTACGCTACTATTGCCAGGAAGTGGAAGTTTTCTTTGATTTGTTACGTTTTCTATCTACAGCTCGGTGAAGGGGGGCCTCTAATAATCCAAACGCATTTACCGAACGGCGAACTTGGATCACCAATAGAAATACCAGAGGGCATTCCTTTACTGGCAAGAATTTTGCCACCGGTCAGTGCCTCATATTGAATAATTTATGAATTGTTTTTTATTAAACTTTCCAATTAACTAGCTCAACTTACATTTCGCAGTGATTGACATGACTAAAATAATGGGTTTAAAAATAACTAATACAAATTACATATTCAAATTCTCGTATATGTAATGTCATGAAATTACACTAAAGAAGGGTATTCATTTCAAATAATTTTTTATAAATATTTAGAGCCGTAAAATTCGTCCACATTAGAATGCTGCATCGTCTTGTGGCGGCCCACGCTTGCTTATGCACTAAATAATAAAGCATTAAATAAGGTATAATGCAAATTATACTGCATCTAAGTAGCTAATATGTAACACAAGAGGTACGTGGTAGTACCACACGGCGACTGTACGAGACCTCCGAGTGGTACAAGATTACAATTTTTTTTTTGAACCACTGAATCCCATGCGGGTTATGGCAGCATGCGACGTAAATCAAAGAAAATGAAATTTATACCAAAAATGCAGTTTTTTAAGAAATAATAAGTTATTTATACGAAGCGTATGTAATTATATCAAAAGTTATTCAGGCTTATATATTAAGCTGGCAGTTCGTGATGTATGACACGAGGCAGCTGTTGTGTGATTGGTGATACACCACCACACTTGGTGATGATCGCACCTGCTGGTTGTGCCTGTAAGTGGTGTGGGTGGTGGTAGTATGGCACCTGGTGGCACCTGGTGGCACCTGATGGCACCTTATGGCACCTGGTGGCACCGCTCTCCGGTCAGACTCTCCATTTAGCCACAGTCGGCATCAGGCTGCCGTGGGGTGTGGATGGCGTCTGTGGCGTCCCGTATAAAAATATTGCATCTCGAGTCTCGATATCTACAACCAACGTTTACATTTTTATATCTTTAATTTCTATCTTTCTTTCTAATACCGTTCTTTAGTTTTTAAAAGATGTAGTGACCTCGCAGGATTGCAGGAATTTTTTATTCCGATATTTCCTCGTGCAGGAAGTTAATATTAATGAGAATTATGAAACTTATATTGATAATTCTACAGTCAAATTATTTCTTTGCTTAACACGAGATACAAATTTTTTTTTATTCAGTCATTTAACGCTCTTCATTCGCATGAGTTTTGCACACCCACTGCAACGAAGGGACGTTGTTTTAAATTTCATAGTTTCACAGAACAATAAATTTATCAATTTTTCTGTTGCTATAGATGATTTACTACTTGGTTTTTATTGAAATTTTTGGAAAATTATCTTCGTAAACGAAGTCGTAAATGAGTTTTAAATCCTCAGGTCTGTTATATCTATAAATTTATTTAGAAAAGCTATGCATCGCTGTATCCCTCAACGGCTTGCTTACTTTCACAAAATTCATTAGGTGAATTTTCCGCCGGCCGTTTTAAAAATGTTTTAGTAAAAGCCACTTTTAGCCTTTACACAAATAAATATGCCCTTGACACCATGCACTAATAGGATGAAAATACCCTAAACGCCATATTCTCAGTCTATTCCTATAATTATTTAAGCATTTTAAAAGCACGGTATCGAGCAGCTTAGCTTCAAGTGTTGGTGGTTGTTCCATTGCTTGCTGCATTATAGTATTTTACGTACACAGCCCCTCCCCTTCCCCTCTCCCTCCCTGGGCTTTTGAAACGTTCGAACACCTGTCTATGGCTCGAGTAAACATACAAATACATACGTTGATGACGCACACATCCGCTCATGTACAACATTCGTGATTCCTACGCAGAAAATTTGTGATAACCTGCTATTTGTGTCGCAAAAAAAGTCACTGGGGAAAAGAACAATATTTATATTCAAGAATTGTGAGTGTGCAATCAACGTAAGCGTAAATATGTGGAATGTGAATTGAATTTTGAATAACAACGGATCTATTTCTATATTATTCAGCGCTTGTAAACTTTTCTTTACTAAATTTTTATCGCAAATTAAACAAACAATTTAATATACATGTTTGTCTAATTAAATATTCTGAGAAATGCATTCAATTAGCCGTCAAAAATTAGCCTGGCTATAAATGACTTTTCATGGTCACCTCGCCCCAAAACCAATGCACGTTCCATTTTCTTTGCAAGCAGACATATGTACTATGATTTGACCGAGCGATTCTATTTTACCAGTTTCCATCAGTTGCTGCAATAGCTTCATATTTTGCCTTGGCCTCTTCTTCATATTCCATAAAATAGAATAAGATAACTTATGGAACATAATTTATTTTTGTTACAATCAGCTATTTCCTCTATCCTAAAATACCGACTCCGCGACATGCAGCCAAGAACCACACGCCCGTTGCGATGAAGGCCGATGTGAATATTTGTACATGTATATAGATATAGATTAAAAATAGATTTTTACTTGCGCCAAGTTTCCTCAGTGATAATAACTGTTAATATAAGCCGTTATTTAATTATAAATCTGTGCGCGTGAGTGCGCGTATTTTAGAAATCTCAGTTTTATAATCGTAATTTGGATATAATAATTTTTACCAACTTTTTCATTAATGGAAATCTGACACATTTCTTACAAATTTGTATTGGCTATGTAGTTATTGATAAACAAATAACTCTTCTGAATACGCATATATCTCGAAACGGAGCAAAAATCACGTCAAATGTCAATAGCATTTACAAGCCAAAATATTGTACACAAGGTTCAATTTAGTTCTTGAATTCAGATATTTCCCAAGAGCTTAAGTGGTTATCTAGATCAACTCAAGTAACATGCTCGTTGTCAGCTCTTAATAGTTTCTAAGCTACTCTTGAATTTAGATATTTCCTAAGAGCTTAAGTGGTCGTCTATATCAGATCAACCCAAGGAACATGCTCGTTGTCAGCTCTTAAAGTTTCTAAGCTACTCTTTAATTTAGATATTTCCTAAGAGCTTAAGTGGTTATCTAGATCAACCCAAGGAACATGCTCGTTGTCAGCTCTTAATAGTTTCTAAGCTACTCTTGAATTTAGATATTTCCTAAGAGCTTAAGTGGTCGTCTATATCAACCTAAGGAACATGCCTTGAAGAACGTTTTGCTTGCCAAAACTCTATGTTTAGCAGCTTGGGGGATGGGAGAACGCCTACTCGAATGACTCCATCCCACGTAGTCTGCCATAAATATATTTTCTAAAAATACACGTTTTCTGTGTTCCGTTTTCTAAGGAAGTCTAAATCGTTTTCTTGCTGCAGCTTTCCGGTTGATTTAGAAGTAGTTTTGGTTGACATTGGCTTGGATTATTGAATCTGGCAGCCTTTTTGCTAAAATTAAATTTTATTGTCAATTTTCCCCAAATTAGTCATATTTTTTCGTTATTTTCTTCAGGTTTGGTCCACCTGGCACATATTATTATTCGATTTATGTATGGGTGGCCGGCCCCTTGTGGGTGACTCATGCAAAATGTATAATTAGTTTGAGCTAAGCCAAGGCTGAACGTCAGCTTCTGCACAGTTAGACACAAGCCGCTGTTGTTTCAGGTCTTAATTTGTGACTTGCTATTGCTGAAGCTTAAATAAATTATATTTACCTTTATTGTTGTTGTTTAAACTGAAATCAGGATTTCATGTTAATTTTTCCACCAAAAACCATCAAGTGAATGAGATGCTCACTGGTATGTTAGCTTTCTTCAAACTTTTTTTACCTGCATGTAAATTCAAATAATTTTCCGTTTTTTAGGCAATCAAATTTTCTGCAGCTTTTATTTTTAATATCACGAGTTTTTTATATAACAATATTCAGTTTTATTTTGCATGACTATGATCACTCTTTTTTAACATTATTGTTCACGTAAATCAACCAATCGAAAAGTTAACTCGAAAAAGGGAAATGCCTTGGGTCCGGCTATTCGCTTTCTCATAAGAAATTTGTAGAAAATTTTGGTTCAGAATAACTTTGTTAAGAATAATAATTTTTTGATCGCACATCTTTAAAACTCTTATTCTTATATACAAAAAAAAAGAAATTCTTATATCAAACAACACAGACTAACGCACTTTAAAATAACTCAGCCTGCCCGCAATTGTATCCACATTGATTTATGACTTAACTGCAATATCGCCATTTCCAGATTGATTTATTCCAGAATCAGATTCAGATTATCATATTTCCAGAAAGATTCAGGGAACCATTTTTACAGCTAGATATTTTTCACTCATTATTATATCCTCGTTTCCATTGGGAGAGAAAGATTCAGTGAACCATATTTACAGATAGATATTTTTCGCTCAATATTATATCCTCGTTTCCAAGGGAAGCTTGAAATGAAAATTCAATCGCAAAAAATTTATTCCAGGATCTAAAAAATCTCACAAAATTGAAATTAAATTTTGGAATTCATAGGCAAAGCCAAAATTCCTAATTTTCTCCTGCGTTTTATACTAGATTTGAAATGAACTAAAAGCTCATGAAGCCTCAACAAAACGCTAAAATTATGGAAACGATTCTTTTATATTTTGGTTGAAGAAAATGTTTTCGCCAGATCGATTTTGTAGCAAACGAGACGCCAGTGACTTCCCTGTTAGCAATTCTTCTTGGAGTCCCGCAATCCGATCAAATCCTAACGCTTTTGTGAGGCCTTCTGAGGATACCTCACGACCAGTGATAGCATTAAAGACTGCATTCAGACCTGCTGCTGCTGCTAGCAATAAGAAACAAACTTTTTCTCGAGGTGGGCAACGAAAAACATTCAGTGATCCAGCAACGCCCGCCGTGTTGAAAGATCGCGGACTTAGACCTTCAGATCTGAGTGATCCTCATAAAAAGGAGTTTCTCACTAACCTCACGAACAGAGTCTTCCATCTTGCCTTGGTGAGTACCTCATAATACTCACCGGATTATAAACTCATAATGCTCAACGGATTATAAACTCATAATACTCGTCGGATTATAAACTCATAATACTCGTCGGATTATAAACTCATAATACTCACCGGATTATAAACTCATAATACTCGCCGGATTACAGACAATCGCTTAGCCAATCGCGATCGTATTTTATG